GGCCATTCTCACTTCCAAGGAGCATTCTAGCTGCACTTCTTTCAGGACAGATTTGTTAGTTCTTTTGGCAGTCCACAGTACTTTCAGTATTTTTCACCAACACCACAAATCAAAAGCATCAACTTTTCTTTGGTCTTCCTTATTCATTGTCCAGCTTTCACATGCATATGAGGTGAATGAAAACACCATGGCTTGGGTTAGGTGCACCTTAGTCTTCAAAGAGACATCTTTGCTCTTCAGCATTTTAAAGAGGTCTTTGACAGCAGAGTTGACAAGTGCAATCTATTATCTGATTTCCTGATTGCTGCTTCCCTGAGTTTTGATTGTGGATCCAAGTGATTGAAATCCTTGACAACTTCAATCTTTTCTCCATTTATCATGATGCTGATTATTGGTCCAGTTGTGAAGATCTTTGTTTTCTTTATGTTGAGGTGTAATCCATACTGCAGACTGAAGTCTTTAATCTTTGTTAGTAAGTGCCTCAAGTCATCTTCATTTTCAGCAAGGAAGGGTGTCTCATCTGCATATTGCAGGTTGTTAATGAGTCTTCATCCAATCCTAATGCCACGTTCTTCTTCACATAGGCCTGCTTCTTGGATTGTGTGCTCAGTATACAGATTGTGTAAGTATGGTGAAAGGATACAACCCTGACACACTCACTTCCTGATTTTAAACTATGCAGTATCCCCTTGTTCTGTTCGAACAACAGCCTCCTGGTCTATGTACAGGTTCCTCATGAGCACAATTAAGTGTTCTGGAATTTCCATTCTTCTCAATGTTATCCATAATTTGTTATAATCCACACAGTCGAATGCTTTTGCGTAGTCAATAAAACACAAGTAAACATCTTTCTGGTATTCTTTCCTTTCAGCCAAGATCTACTGGACATCAGCAATGATATCCCTCATCCCACACCCTCTTCTAAATCCAGCTTGCATTTCTGGAAGTTCCCTGTCAATATACTGCTGCAACCGTTTTTTAATTATCTTCAGCAAGATTTTACTTGCATGTGGTATTAATGATATTGTTTGATAATCTCCACATTCTGTGGGATCACCTTTCTTTGGAATGGGTACAAATATGGATCTCTTCCAGTCAGTTGGCCAGGTAGTATTATTTTATTTTTGTTGTGCAATAAATTGCTTGGCATGGCCCTTCTACCCATGGTCTTTGTGAGTTCCATCAGATGACTGGGTGGGACTATGAAAATGTGAGAGTTTTGTGACTCACCAAGGAAATAGGACATCTTGTTAAAAATGTAAATAAGATACATGGTGTGCTTGTGAGGCATGCACATAAGGTACGTGAAACCCTAATGTGGGGGTTGGTTAGTTTTGTCATCTCACTAGGCTTACAATGAGCCATCCCAGAGGTACCATCCTCGGGATCCTCGGGACCTGAGATCTTTGTGCTGAACTTCTTAGATGCGGTAGACAGTGAGTTGTAACACATTTTGCTGAGACACCGAGGGATGGCGAGACTGCCAGGAGCAGCAGCAGAGAAACAATGGCAGACCTTGCAGCAGCCCTGGTAATCTGGCAGCCAACAGCATGGTGGGCTTCCCAGATATGGAGCAAGAAAGCTCAGTGCCTTCCGTCAGGAGGCTTGCTAGCAGAGTGGAGTGCCTCTGGTATAGGCAGAGGTAAAAGAGGTTTTTTGTTGTTGTTGTTGTTTTTTAAAACACTTGGCCGAGCAGGGCAGAGGCCACAGGGCCAAGAGACTGAGGGCCAAAGCAAGGCATATCTGTGGGAATGACTGTCCTGACTGAACAGTTGTATCCTCAGCATTCCTGAGCCTAAATTTTACCTTGTTATTTCCCTAATAAACACCATAACTGTGAGTACTGCCTATGAGTTTTGTGGAGCCATTGCAACAAATTACTGAACTCAGCAGAGAAGCAGAGAGTGCCATGGGAGGGGCAGTTGGTGTCAGAATTGGAAGGGAGGAAGGGAGGGAGGGAGGGAGGAAGGAGGGAAGGAAGGAAGGAAGGAAGGAGGGAAGTGGGAAGGAAGGAAGGAGGAAGGGGGAAAGAGGGAGGCGGGAGGGAGGGAGGGAGGGAGGAAGGAGGGAAGGAAGGAAGGAAGGAAGGAGGGAAGTGGGAAGGAAGGAAGGAGGAAGGGGGAAAGAGGGAGGCGGGAGGGAGGGAGGGAGGGAGGAAAGGAAGAAGAAAAGAAAGGAAGAAAGTTGGAGAGTGGCAGCATGTTTGACCGCTCTCGTAAGAATCAGCCTTGGGCTATTGATGTTCATCTTGTTCCTCCTCTGCCATTTTTACACCTTTGCTTTTAATTGTTATTTTTAAGCCAAACAGATAGATGTTCACCTTTGGGTGGTAAAGTTTCTATAGCGTACTTGTTATGTCTTCACAAAGCAGGAAACACTTTCAAAATAGGGATCCCTGTGTCCAGTTATCTCATACTTTTATAAATAAAAATTTTAATAAAGAGAATCAGAATCACAAAATCAGAGGTCATCTGTATAGGATTAAAGATGGTTTAGAGGTTGCCTAAACCGATGCTGATCCATCCATAATTGAAATGATAAGACTTATTTTTAAAACCTCAAAATCAAACTCTAGCATAGTTTGTGGTAGGGTGTATTTTTGTTACTTCTCTCTCTTCTTTTTCTTTTCCCAAATAGCATATATAATTATTACTGTTTTTCTGAAGATGGTCAAGAAGTAGAATGCACTCCCTGGAAAAGCTGCTGATGCTCTCCTATCTCTACCACCCACACCACCCAGTCCCCTCATTTGACAGCTTCTTCCACAATCATGCTGACATTCTGACAAGCCTATCATTCTGACATGCCTATCCACACCCTGCAATTCCCAGTCACCTTGTGCCCCTCAGGCCTGCCATTCCCTACAGAGCTTGAACAGAACCTTGAATTAGGAAGTGACACACCAAATTAGCAAGCGGAAATGATGCTGATTCATCAGGCCCCTCCTACAGCAGAGCTTCCAAAGACTGATCCTGAAGTCTTCCCTACAGCAATGACTGCTTCTAATGGCCAATGTTTTAAGCAAAAATACACTCACATACAAGCAACTACTAAAGTGTCCTGGAAAAGGCCACACTCATTCTGGACATGAAATCAACATTTTCTGTTTAAACTTTAGAAGGTGGGCAGTTTGGCTAATGACTCTTCTGCACAACCAGTAGAATAAGCGATATAGCAAATCTGACACTACAGCTGGCACAGCTGGCTTTGGTCAAAGCATCAAATTTACCCACTCATATGGTATTTGCCCACTTCCTGGGCAGGATCAGGGAACAAGAGCTCCCTGGGGTTTTGCTGAAAAAATTGCAAGAGGACAGAAGAAAGTGATTTATGGAAAAAAATAAGAAATTTAGGTAAATAATGTAAATGCTAAGGATTTTCAAACTTAAAAATGTCTCTTTTCTAGAAATTCAGTAAGCCTTTGTTACTTTAAATAAACGAAAACCTAAAATTGCTAGTTCTGTGGTTAGACAAGTCACGTGACATCTCTGCCATATTTTCAAGGGACTGAGCAACAAGTGAACAATAGGGTATCCATGGGCACACATCTGAATTTTTAAGAATTGGCATTCTTGTTTCTGCCTTCAAGCCTAGTCTTCATATTCTAACCTCCACCCAGCAGCCTCTAGCCTGTGGTTCCTAAATAAAACACATACTTCCGGCTTCAGTAAAACCCCAAAGGCCCCACTGCCTCCGAGCTGTCTTCACCCTTCACCAAGGCAAATTTTTCTTCTTCCTCAACATAAAAACCCACAAGATATAATTAGTTATCACTATTCTGAAGAATACAAAATACATACTCCCCATGTAATTACTAAGCATATGGCTATAACTATGTATCTCTTAACTTATTATAACACACATGAAAAATAATTCAATGGTCCAACCACAGAGTAAAGGAACTGGATTAATCAGGAAAGAGACAAGATGTTTTCCTCTAACTGAGGAGGATGCTGGTCTTTTAATCCTCCTACCTCATCCCTAATAATAAAGGATAAGTGTGGGGGACCTGCCACCCATGCTGTGACAGCAGAAATGTAATAACAGTTTATAACAACCATAAGTGTAAGGTAGCTTTCATCTTCACAAATTTTACCTACATACTCAGTAAACATCACCTAATCTTCCAATCATCCCCTGCCTCACCAGTAGCCAGGTGTTGTTTCAGCAAGAGGAAGACACACAGGTAGGATAGGGCAAGGGTGTGGGTCTGTGCAGTCAGAACAACCCTTGTTAGCTCACAGGCTGAGGGAAGTCAGGCAATAGGATCACCCAGTATGGCAGTGGGGATTAAACACAGTGTGGTCCACGCCCTTCTCTGTGTCCAAACATCCACCCCTGCTGCTGAAGAGCTATCTTTGCCCTCTCTCTTCCCAAAATGTGAATAATGCCAGGCCCTCCACCACTGCAGCGTACCTAAATCTCACCCTGCTCCCACACACTAGCTTCACAGTGCACACACTTGGTGGCCTTTCCCAAATCACATAGGCACAGTTCTTGGCAAGGAAAAGGTTGAGTGTCACTGCACTGCCTACCCTGACTACAGCATTCTGGCTGTACCCTCATACTATACTGACATATCATCTCATCCAACATCCCCCTCTTCGTTCTCCCTCTGCCCCTCATCCCACATATCCATATCTGACTAGTGGCCAAGCTCCTCAATTCCACCTCTGGCATCTCTTGACACCATTCCTTCCTCCCTGTTCTCAAACTCTGGATTCCACCTGGCTTCTGCTACATTTGTTGCTGTGAGCTGCTGTAGAGTGAGCCCTTGAGTCATGATGACCCCATAAAAAACGGAATGAAATGCTATCTGGACCAGCACATCTCCATGATCAGTTGCAGATTTGATCATCATGGTCTATATGATTAACAGAAACAGATTACCAGGCCTTTCTTGCTGGTCTGTCTTAGTCTGGAAGCTCTGCTGAAACCTCATCAGCATAACAGCAACATGAAAGCATCCAATGACAGATGGGTGGTGGCTATGCATGAGGTGCACTGGCTGGGAATTGAAGCCAGGTCTCCTTCATGAAAGGCAAGCATTCTACCACTGAACCACCAGTGCCCCACTACCTCTGAGGTGTGATATATTGTCACTTTTTCAGACCCTACTCTGGTAGCTTGGTGCCTAAGGCACTTGACTGCTAACCAGAAGGCTGGAGGTTCAAACCCACCAGCCACTTCTTGGAAGAAAGATTGGGCAACTAACTTCCGTAGGGATACTGCCTTAGAAACCCAAGGTGGGGTGACTATGAGTCAGATCTGACTCAACGGCACATAACAACAACAACCACCACTTCTTAAGCCTTCCCCAGCACTGTCAGTCAGCCCACAGCTGCCATGTTTCTTTTTTTATTATTATTTTTTTATTGTGATTTAGGTGAAGATTTAGAGAGAAAATTCACTTTCCATACAGCAGTTTACATATACTTTGTCTCATGTCATTGACCACA